GCACACGCTTCTCCCGTGGCCTCAAGTGATGAGACATCTAGGGACGCCCCTGTAAAATGCGTTGAATGCTCCTTGTCAGCACATGAACTGGCTAGCTCCTTGTGCTGCTTCTCCTTTCACACTCCAGCCCTGCTCTACAGAGACTACAAGAGGCCGAAACCAGGTCAACTTCCGGTGCTTAGACTGTTTCCACTAAATAATACATTTATTGATATATTAAGGATTACAGAGCTACATCGGTTTGTGTCTCTTATATCTGCCTAGAGTTCAGCTTTAAATGTATGAAATAATATAGATTTAAAAAATGTAACCAAACAGAAAAAAATTTCAGGGACACAATCTTTAAAGTCAAAAGAAAATTGGCAACCATATGCAGAACCTAGGTTTGGGAAGATTGGCCACTGTCAACAAAACATTATATACCCATCAATGTTACCATTTTGGCTTCGCTTGAATGTCTATGCTCTGTCTGTAAGGCTCCTTTCACATGGGCGGTCCGATCGGGTCTGCCTGTCAGTTTTTCAGGTGGATGCGATCGGATGCCCAATGTAAGTCTATGGGCAGCCATGAGTAAATTACGTTTCCTTGTTGTATGGTGAGAAATACATTTTCTGAGAGCTGGCCAGAACACAGAGCGAATTTTGTCCAGTTCTTGACAAATCAGCTGAGACTTGCTCTAATCTACTAGTGTATGGCCAGCTTAAAGTGACATTAAACCCTCAGATTTTTAAACATAAAACAATACTGTAATGTGTGCCTTACTGTAATCCATGGTAGTTTCCCTTCTCTTTGCTGCTCTTCCTTTTAAATCTGTATTTCTTCTCATGCTGGGCAGAACTTCTGTTTTGCAGCAGACTGCCTTGTCTCTGGAATGGCTACATGGTGTCTGTGTATAGGTTTGCAACCTGAGCCAGCACTACAGGAAGAGGCAGTCAGCTGCAAAGGGACGTTATCCCCAAGCATGAGAAGACATGAGGATTTAAAAGGAAGAACAGCAAAGAGAAGGGAAACAACCATTGATTACAGTAAGGCACACATTACAGTATTGTTTTTTGTTAAAAAATCTGAGGGTTTAATGTCACTTTAAGGCCTCATTACTCCACATGGGCAAGGGATTGGGGGCTAGGGCCGCAACATTGCCTAGGGCCTTTTCTGTGCAGATCTGTCATTTCATTCTCTATGCCTGAATGCCAGGCTGTTCTCATTGCACAAAGCTCTGGAACATTTTAGTAGCCCCCTCTCACCTCCCACATCCCTAATATCCAGTGAAGCAGCCCATCATAGCAGAGGTGGGAGGAAGCAGGAAAGCACTGACACTACCCAGAAATTCTTCCCAGTTAATTTCTATTACCCCACAAAAAGGTGCAGCAACAACACAGCAGAGTTATACTAATTTCTCTAGAGAGGGACAGATTTAGTATTAGATAGACTGATGAAACATTAGAACTTCTGTCTGGACTTTATTACTGTCTGTCTGGCAGTGGCGTAACCAGAGTTCTGGGCGCCCGGGGCAGATGGAGAAATGTCTCCTCATCTCCTCTTGCTAAAGGGAGGAAGTGAGGAGATTTCTCTCTATGAGATGACAGACTAGGCTGTTTTGTTACCTTGCTGCAGCGGTATTCAAAAAGAGGTTGTACGGAGAATTCAAGTGGTATTCTTTCTATAGATCCTGCACCACTCGATATGTTTATCACAGCAGCCCTGCTGCAGCTCTTGACTTCATTCGGACTTTCCTGGGCGGCTTTCTTTAGCAAAGGAAAAAATGCCTAATGATGGAAAGATTGATCATATACCAAGGATTATCTCTCAACCAAAGCTGGAACATTTGTGCAAATTTGAATATATGCGATACATGTAAAGTATATAAAAAGCCAAACCTTTTTTAGTTTGAAATAGAACAGAAAAGGGTTAAAACCTCTGACTGCAACTGCATTTTGTTCTGACAAAAACAATATATGTATTACTTTATTAACCCCTTCCTAACCGATGGTGGGATTATTCGGACATGTTTCAGTTTGTTAAAGACCAGTGACAGAATAATCCCGTCATGCGGTAAAATGAGTGCTGGTCCGTGGAGAGACCAGCGCTCATTAAGTTAATGCTGAGTCGCACTGAAAGCCAACAGCCTGCTACTGACAGCTGGGCGGAGCCAGCCGGCTGGCTCTGGCCACTTCCAGAGAGATCAGCGTCCCTGGTTTCCAGCTTACCAGGGACACTGATCTCCAGACAGCCTAACTCTCCCGGGCGCCCAGGAGGGAAGCACTGCTTTTTCTTTTTTATTCTGACACGGAGCCGTTGGCTGGCGTCAGAATAAAAAAATATATATATATATATTTTCACCATAGGAATGCCTTGCTAGATTCCTATTGGCAAATTTTTTAGAACTTTTTTCACTATTTTTCTGTTCTGCTCGGTCCCACAGAGGGACCGAGTAGAACAGCCGAGCCGAATGCCGCTCAGCCTATTCACTCACTTCTGTTCGGCAACTATAAGAATAGACCGAACAGCAGCGAGTATCCTGCCGGAGGTTTGGCTTAGCCGATCCAGATGTTGGATCGGCTGAGTCGAACTCCTTCTGCACTTCGGGTCGGTCAAACATGCTGAGCATGCTCGGCCGACCCGAAGCCACGCGAAGCCACCCGATGTACGGCTGAAATCAGCCGTACCAGCCTGAAGTGAATAGGCGAACAGCATTCGGCTCACTTCGCTTCAGGTCGGTAATTCACTCGGCTGCCTACGGCAGCTTAGTGAATAGACCCCTTGGTATACCAAGCCCCTGTGAATAAAAAAATAACCCTTTAGTGGTGTCCCCTAGTTAAAAAAAATTTAAGAACAGTTTTTTTAAAGTTTTTACATTTTGTCTATTAAAAAATGGTATATAATATGTGTAGGTGCACTGCATGAGGAAGATGGAAATTATGGTTAAACAAACACATAGCAAAAATTGTAAAATTGCTCTGGTTCCTAGGAACTAAAAAAGTTGCTGAAGCTGTGTCACTAAGGGGTTAAGTAATGACAAATGTATTGTTAAATCAATAGGCCCATAGAAAAAATGTAAAAATTGCTTTGGTCCATAAGGAGTATCATGGTCATAAATTGAAGCAGATTGAGATGATTTTGTCTTAATTATGTAGTAATTGTCCCATATATCAGATGAAAACTTAGCCACATTTCTTGGGCTCAGAGGCTCTCTGTTGCACCCTCTCAATGAGTGACACATCATTCCTCTGTACTTAAAGCAGAACTGCAGCTAAAATCAAGATAAAAATGAATGGCCCATTAAAAGATAACATAACAAACAGGGCTGGATGTACTCTCCCTGCTGCCCCAAGGCCGGGTTCCTCAATGTCAACCAGATGGCATTTTTTATCATATTATTTTTTACTTTTTTATAATTGCTATATATAATTTTTTTACTTTTTTATCACTTTTAATTTTAATTATTATTTCTTCTTATTTTTTACTTCTTATTTTATTATTTTTTATCAATTTTTAAAATTTTTATTTTATCTTTTTCACTTCAATTTATTGCTATCACACAGGAGCTAACAAGCCTCTGTGTGATAGCAATTGGAGGTGACAGGTTATCTTTATTGAACCTGTCACTTCCAATATAGGAGTTCTAGCACAGTACTGTGCTGGAACTCCTGTGACAGCTGAGATGGGAAGGCTGCCA